AACAGCCCGGGCTCCGTGGCCTTGAGCAGCTGGTACGACAGCCAGGCGTTCTGGCCCGAGTCGCCGTCCACCGCCACCACCTTGGTCACCAGGTAGCCCGCCTCGGCCGCCCTGGGCACCAGCTCGGTGCAGGGCGCAGAGCCGTTCTGCAGCGGGTAGAGCACGAAGGGCGCGTTGTCGTTGGCGTCCAGCACCAGCACGCGCACCAGCGCCTGGCTGCTGAGCGCGGGCGAGCCGCGGTCTGCCGCGCGCACGCCGAACTCGAAGGCGCGCAGGGCCTCGTAGTCCAGCGACCTGAGCGCGAACAGCTGGCCGTTGTCGGCGTTGATGGACACCAGCGAGGCCAGGGCCAGCTGCGGGTCGTGGGGCGGCAGCAGCGAGTAGGTGACCTGGGCGTTGGTGCCCGCGTCTGCGTCTGTGGCGCTGATGGTTCCGATGTGCAGGGCGGGGCTGTTGTTCTCGCGGACCAGCAGGGTGTAGGAGGCCTGGGTGAAGGCGGGGGCGTTGTCGTTGACGTCGGAGACCAGCACTGTTATGCTGTGCTCTGTGGTCAGCCTGGGTGTGCCCAGGTCGGTGACGGTGATGGTGATGTTGTACTCGGCTTGGCTCTCTCTGTCCAGGGCTCCTTCTGTTACCAGCCTGTAGAAATTCTCTACGGAAGGTTTCAGTATGAAAGGAACATCGTCCTGGATGGAGCAAGCCATCCTTCCGTTTTCTCCAGAATCTCGGTCTTGGATGCTGAAAAGAGCTACTGTAATTTCAGGAGAATTTTCTGGAACTGGGCTTACAATTGAAGCCACCGTCAGTTCTGGGGCATTATCGTTGATATCCACCACCTGTATTATGACAGTGCATTTTCCAGAAAGACCTGACCCATCAGAGGCTTTAATATCCACCTTGTATGACCTAATTTTTTCAAAATCTAATTTCTTAATTATCTTAATTTCCCCGGTGAGTTCATTAAGTGCAAATGTGTTGGAAATCTCCTCATCGCCATAAAAAAATGAGTAGAATATTTCACCATTTATTCCTGTGTCTAAATCTCTAGCAGAAACAGTTGTAACGATGGATCCAACTGGGCTGTTTTCTGGAATCTGCACCTGATAGAGTGGCTGGGAAAACTCAGGGGCATTGTCATTGATATCCAAGATATCAATGAGGACCTGGGTAGTCCCAGTTTTGGGAGGAATTCCGCCGTCTACTGCCATGAGAGCCAACCTGAGCTCAGTCTGCTCCTCACGATCCAGCTCTTTGTCCAGAACCAGCTCCGGGTATTTCCTGCCCTCACTGTCATTGCGAGTGAGAACATGGAAGTGGAAGTTAGGGTAGATGGTGTAATTGTGAATGCTGTTGATGCCTACATCTAAATCTTGTGCATTTTTCAGAGGAAACACAGCTCCTGGAAGAGTATTTTCCATGATTTTCAAAATCATCTGTGATTCTGGGAATACAGGGGGATTGTCATTTATGTCACTGACCAAAAGTTTAAATCTATATACCTCCAAGGGTTCCTCCAGTAACACCTGGAATTGCAGCACACAAGGGTCAGTGGGGCCACACAATTCTTCCCGATTCAGATTCTCATTTACTTGCAAAGCTCCCGTGTGAAGGTTCAGCTGAAGATATTTTTTGTTGTTATTAAAAATGACCCGAGCCCTTCGCAAGGACAGTTCTCTTACCCCTAGCCCTAGATCCTTTGCTAGATTGGCCACAAAAGAACC